GCTTCAGGTACGGAAGCGCAGTTTGTTGTTTTTAATTCTGTTAGGCCTAAAATAATTAAAGTATTCAGCAGTAACTTTGATGCTGAATTCTACGTGGTAAACTTTCGTGGATGTTGCACTTGACCTGTTGCAGATCCAGCGCCTCAGGCCAGAAGTGATTGCATACACGAACACATTTTCTGCACTTCGTCGAATCGCTCGAGAGGAAGGCATAAGAGGGCTATATAGGTGAGTATGTCTAGAATTGCACGTGACTCCTTGTTTGGTGCTAACTACTCCAAAAATTTCTTTTCTATATATTAAGTAAGTTAGGGTTTAGGGTTTAGGGAATATATTCTAATATGTCTTGTCATATGCATGCAGAAATTTTGAGGTGAAGCATGACATACCTTTTTCTCATTGCGGATTCAATCCCATACTCGTCTCCAAGTACACATGAAGACTCTATTGTTCTCTCTGGTCGGACAGCGACAACATCCACGGGTCGTAAACGAAAGGCAAAAAGCTCTGCAAGTTGGGTTTGGAATCATTTCAAATTGGTGAAAGATTCTAATAAATCCCTTATCATCTTTCTTGAGCCCATAGGTTCTCATAACAGTAGATGCACTACCTCATTTTCGGCCAAAACTGGAACAAGTTCGTTGTCTCGTCATCTCCTTGTAAAACACAATATCTCAAAGGGTCACAAATCAGGCGATCCTCTGCAGACTTTTTTTGGTGTAAATGGTGACCTGCAGGATCCTTATGAGTTGGACAACGAGTCCAAAGAAGCCAATTTAAATGCCTTGGTTGCATTTGTGGTGGATCACCAACAAGCGTTCAACCTGGTCGAGAACGAGACATTTTGATCATTTTGCCGACGTCTCAACTCCCATTACTCACTACCATCGCGGCAAACTCTCACACGCTCATTATCTAATCATTTTGAACGAGCATTACTACAATTTTGTTCAACTATAGATTCTATCAAGGAAGCGATTGCTCTCACTCTGGATTGTTGGTCGTCTCGTGTGATGCGTGGCTATATGGTGATTACAGTTCATTGGATTGATGAAGAGTGGAAACTTCAGTCTGTTGTACTGGAATTTCGCTATTTTCCACCTCCACACAATCAACACACTACATCAGACTTGATTCTCTCAGTGGTGAAAGATTACAACATGTGGTCCAAAATCAAGGCCATTACATCCGATAGTGGCGGCGAGATGCCACTGGCCATGGTCATTGTGAGAGAAAATCTGAATGATCAATACTCTCTTCGGTTGGAGGATGGTTTTCATATACGCTGCATTTGTCATGTCATCAATCGTGTTGTATGTGATGCTACACATTTCATCAAAAAAGAAGTGCAAATGCTCCGTCAAATACTCAAAGCTGTTCGTGGATCCGTTGCTATCCGCGTCAAGTTTTCAGAATTGGCAGTTGTGCTAGGCGTTTCCAAGGGCCGTGTTGAAGTTCTAGGTCTGGATATGGAGACACGTGGGAACACCATGTTCACTATGATCGACCATTCATTTCAATATCGTGGTGTATTTTCAGCGCTCTGTAACTCCGAAGAATTCTGTGACCGATTGGCCAATATGGCTTTGTCCGACATGGATTGGCGTGTTCTCAAATCATGCAAAGACTTTTTGCAATCTGCGTACCATTGCACTGTCGCCGCTAGTGGACGTGACTACATTTCACTTTCTCTCCAGCCTCTGATCTACAAGCATCTCCTTACCTTGTGTGAAAAAACCCGTTCTGGACAATTAGACACTGGGTTTACCACTCCGATAGTCAAACAAGCTGCTACTGCCATGGAGCTCAAGTTGCTTAAATATAGTGCAAATCTAAATTGTCAAGCCTCCAAAATGGCTTTGCTTCTTGATCCTAGATCCAGTAATGCTTCCTCTGAAACGATGGAACTCAAAGATCAACTTCGATTCATTTTGACGATGGATTACGGCTTGTGTTCGGAGGTGCAGCCATCTCCAACTTTTGGTGTATTTGATCTATTTGCCGGAGAATGAGACAGTGCCATTGAAAACGTTGCACACACTGACGAGGTCGATGACTTCTTCATGCTCACGGCGAAAGCGGATCGTCGTGTGTCCGACGTATTGCTATGGTGGAAATAGCATAGCAATCGTTTTCCAACGTTATCCCTGATGGCCAGGGACACGTTGATGATTCAAGGTTCTTCTGTGGCGTCTGAATCGGCATTTTCGGAGAGTGGTGGATTTGTTCGTCCTGATAGATCTAAATTATCTAATGAAAACATTGAGATGATGATGAAATTGAAAAGCTGGAACCGTTTATTCCGAGAGTAAACTATTAGCGGAGCTTATGTTCGGCTTTTATTTAGTTTGGTTATTTAGTTTAGCTTTTATTTCTTTTATTTAGTCGAGTAGTTATTCTCGAAACTTGTGTTTGAAACATAGTTCATATACACAATTTTTATCTTTGAGTGCATCAAGGTTTATTTAGGTTGAAAATATTATCTATGCTCAAATCGTCCAATTTCAATTTTAATATATTTTTCTCTAGAAAATTTCATTATTCTATTTTAAATACGAATTATATACCTGTGGGCTTGGCCTACAGGTATATAATTTTTTCACGAATTGGTACAACTCAGCTCGAGTCGCTGAACTCTGAAAGTCCAGCCGTGGGCTCATTTGAGTCGCGGCCCACCTCTTTCCCTCCGCCATCGAGCATTTTTGGTTTTTAGGGCCCCTCCCCATCGGTCACGTAGATGTCCGGACCAATGGTTAATCGGTTAACCATCGGTATGTCATTAGTCCAAAAATTTCCTCTGGCAGCAGAATTAGACTAGCGAGGTACCCAATTCGTGATCCAGTGTGAAAAAATTCGCGAGAAAATTTTTTCACGAATTGGTACAACTCATCTCGAGTCGCTGAACTCTGAAAGTCCAGCCGTGGGCTCATTTGAGTCGCGGCCCACCTCTTTCCCTCCGCAATCGAGAATTTTTGGTTTTTAGGGCCCCTCCCCATCGGTCACGTAGGGGTCCGGACCGATGGTTAATCGGTTAACCATCGATCTGTCATTAACGAGGTACCCAATTTGTGATCCAGTGTGAAAAAATTCGCGAGAAAATTTTTTCACGAATTGGTACAACTCAACTCGAGTCGCAGCCCACCTCTTTCCCTCCGCCATCGAGAATTTTTGGTTTTTAGGGCCCCTCCCCATCGGTCACGTAGGGGTCCGGACCAATGGTTAATCGGTTAATCATCGGGACCGGTTAAAATATCGGTTAACCGTTAACCGATACGTATAAATCCTGGACCGGTTAACATACTTGTTAACTGGTTAATTGGACCGGTTAACCGGTCCACAAATTTATCTATTCATCTTGAATTTGTGGTTTCTAAATAATTTCAACTCTTTATGTTTTATTATAATTTATAGACTTCTCAAATCGTCCCACCTTGATTTTGATATATTTTTTCAAAAAAGAAGTCATTTTTCTGTTTTAAATATGAATTAAATATTTCAAGGTTTCATTTTTTGCCAATTAGTAGTTGAATATTTTTCTTTTTTCTTTTGAGGTCTAACTATATGCTAAAAATCACTTTTGACATAGTTCATATATACAATTTTTATCTTTGAGTGCATCAAAATTTAATTAGGTTGAAAATATTAACTATTCATCTTCAATTTGTGGTTTCTAAATTAATTTCAACTCTTTATGTTTTATTATAATTTATAGACTTCTCAAATCGTCCAATTTTGATTTTGATATATTTTTCCACAAAAGAAGTCATTTTTCTGTTTTAAATATGAATTAAATATTTCAAGGTTTCATTTTTTGCCAATTAGTACTTGAATATTTTTTAAATTTTACATTTAATGTATGTTAATTCTTGGGATTGTTTTTTCTATTCACTAAAGAACAATTTATGGGTTTTTTAATAAAAAAATCATTTTTCATTATTATTTTTTAATATATTTCCAAATTGGAACATTTTTTTCTCAATAATCAACACATATATTTTTCTTAATTTAGATGGTGTCAAAATATCAAGATTTTATGGAAATTGAATCAAAATATAAGAAATGAGATTTAAATAATCTACCTATTTTAAAAAATAACAAAAAAACTCTACAATATAGATTATATGTCTTCATTGGTTTCAGATGTGATTTATAATATAGAAAATATTGAAATCAATACTTAATTTTATTTCATGTGCATTTCGTATAACTTTACTTACATATCTTTAATACTTAGTTGTTTTTATTCCAAATTCTTACACTAGTTCAGGTTTTATGAACTTTGTAAAGTAAAAAAATCAAATCTGACCGTTAGATCTTTCTAATATTCATTATATACGCTGGATACATACTTAAACTAATATTGAACGGTTCAGATTTTACATCTATGTAATATACACATTTACAAGAATTGTTTCAATCTTTTATCACTTTTAATTTTTTCAGATCTTTCATATATTTCAATAATACAAGAAATGGTTACTGAAAATTTTAACTCATGTTTATCAAATTTATTATTATTTTCAATTTAATTTTCAGAATCTTTATCTTGGAAAAAATAAAACTTAAAATCATAAAAAAATGCATAGATTTTAAAATATTCTGAATTTAAATATAATTAATTTATAATATATATAGAGATCAGTTGTCTAATTTATTAGTGTCAAACAATGATTTTTAAAATTTAAGATGAAAATTTATTATATTTTTTTCATTTTTGTATAGTGTATTCTAGGACTCAAATAGAGTTTAGATTCAAAATTTCATGAAAATTTCACAATAAATTTTTTTATTCATATTTCAATTTTAGTAAATATATCATGATTTTTGAAATTTTTTTTTCAAAAAAACATTTTCAACCGTCCGAGTGGGGGCTCATTTGAGTCCTCACGTAATTTTTCTCTTTTTTTTTGACAGTCACAGGAAAAGTCTTTTTACTACGGCTCTCACACATTCTTTTTGGCTCTAATATTTTCCAATACCTGTTATTTCAATGTATTTCCATGGATCAATTATTCAAGGAGTCCGTTTTGATGTCCTTAATTATAGGATTTAACTTAGGACAACTGTTTGGTTTAGCTTTTTTTTAAAACCATGGATTTCTTCGTGATGTTCTATTCCGGGGCTTGTTTGCTTTTGTCATAGTATATTTTAAGTTAAGGCACATACTAAACGGACCGGCACAAGGTTCGAATCTATTGACCGATGCCCTGGAGGGCGAAGGCCTTCCACCCACGAGCCATGGCACAATTCCTCCTTCGCTCCCCAGCCACAACCCCTCCCATCGGCCACGTAGGGGGGGATTTTCAACTGTCAGAGTGGGGGCTCATTTGAGTCCTCGAGCTATCGCGCAATTCCTCCTTCGCTCCCAGCCACAGCCCCTCCCGTCGGCCACGTAGGGTTGGGACAGATTATTAACCGGTTAAAACCTCGGTTAACCGTTAACCGATATGGCAAAATGCCGGACCGCTTAACTTACCGGTTAACCGGTTAATTGGACCGGTTAACCGGTCCGCACATTTCCCGGACCGGTTAACCGTTAACCGGTTAACCGTTAACCGGACCGTGGCCAAGCCTAAGGACCAGAGTGTTGCAGACACAAAGTCTTCGGTGGTGATATCGTCCGGTGTTCCAACCCCATTGATTTGGGACATGGACGGGATGGACGGGGCCGTGAAGGGCCCTCGACGTTACTCTGTTGCAGTGGGCACCATCGAGCTCGATGATTTTATTCATGAGTTTGACACGTGGTGTGATATGCAATTTCTGCGTAACCCCACGTTGTTTACACCCTTCTTTGCATGGAAGGGGTTATTGAGCATTTGGAGGGGCCTCCCATGGACGATTATCATGAGTTTGGGAGAGACTATGCTGCAGAGATTGATGCATGGAGACGTCATTGGTCTCCGAACTACTTATCCATTACCCAGGGTGGTGTGGGTACCAGTAGGAATGCGAGTATCGGCATCAACGGAGGTGCGAGTGGTAGCATCAGCGAGAGTACCAGTGGAACAATTGGCGCAACTGGTACCAATACCAGCAGCGGTACTGTTAGCATTGCTAGTGGCGTACCTTCGTTTAGCCCCATTCATGAGTTCTTCTAGAGGTTGAGGAAGAACTATCAAAGGGTGAAGAGGGAGAAGTTGAGGAGTTTCCAAGAGTTCGAGCGGAAAAATGGTGAGAATCTTCGTGAGGCATACACTCGTATGCGACGGCTGATCTCAGTTACTCACGGTGTGATTGAGGCACAGGCTGTCCAATATTGGTATCGGATTCTAGAAAGAGAGTTGCGGAGTAGAGTTTGTGATGCTACTCTCATGAGCGACGCATCACCTACATTAGCCCATGTGTTTGCTCTTTCTGAGAAGATTGAGCTTAACATGGTGGAGGAGAGGGTGGTGACGTCTACATTTGCGAGGGACACGACAACCACATCACGTATCTCACACAGTACATCACAGTCTCGCCCCATGGGTGGTGGTAGTGGGAGTCGTGGAGTTCATACACGACATCCTTCAGGTTACTGAGAGCCTAGTGCGCGGCCACCACTGCCTTCATTTTCGGGCCAGCCACAAGGACCATCATGTTGGACATGCGGAGGTGGTCATATGAGGAAGGATTGTCCCCAGGAGAGAGGGGGACAAACTTCACAGGCTAGGCCACAGCTGGCACAGGTGACGTGTGATCATTGTGGTCAACCAGATCACCCTCGAGAGCGTTGTTTTGACCTTCATCCCGAGTTGAGATCTGGAGGTAGAGGTCGTGGCGATGATGCTCCACGAGGCCGAGGCGGTCGAGGTGGCAGAGGCGGTAGGGGTGGTAGAGGTACTGGTGCCATTGAGCGTACCGCAGCGAGTGCTACTTCCGCTACAAAGAGCGCTATGACTGCTCGGATTGAGCAGTTGGAGCATAGGCGTGCTGCTATGGTTGGTCTGGAGGCGAGCACTTCCACATCTTACGAGGGAGAGGATTTCTCCTACTTGGCCAGTGCAGCACAGGTTGAGGCATCAGTTGCAGTGATCAGAGGTGGTGCTCGCACTTCAGAGACACGTGGTGCGACTGTGGAGTTGGACCTGCAACCTCCGGGCTGACTCTCACTCAGGTTTACCTCAGATGGCTTTTCGGTAGCTTATCATGATTCTAGAAGACTTGGATTCCGCATCATACTTATAACCTAAACACCCTCTCACACAATCTCTCAAGGTATCACTCCAACTCATACACTCATCGACACTCCAAGGTACTGAAAATTCGTCACTCTTTCATATATGAAACAAATCTCTACATATGAATTCTCCAAACTTGCTTGAGAGGCTCTTCCCTACCTCTCTATATATACTACTTGAGAATTTACCATAGTATCAAATGGTAATTTCTATCTAACTTACTTTTACGAAGATAAACCATAGTAAGGTTGACTAGTTATCAATATGTGGTAACATGCCATTGGCCCCCTAAACCTTCTAGATGTTTACTAATCCCTAGATTGAGGTGGAGACATGCCATTTGTGCCTTGTCAACTTCTAGAACTTCCACTTTCCACTAAGTCAACATTAGACTTAGTCTAACCAATGGAATACTCCTTACTTTAGTCAAACCAATCAAAACTAAACATGAAGTTCAAAAGTATTTTCTCTTGGAATCTAGACTTTTGTACAAGACAAAATAGAAATGCTCACTCAAATCTTCTAGAACTTCTCTAGTTATTCCGCCAAGTATAGACATTATAGCTAAACTAGCTAGATTTAGTCATAACTATCCTAACCATGATTAACTCCTTGGCTAATTCTAGTTTTATTTCACACATGCAATATCCGGTCTTACAGACCCTCAAAGGGATGAGGGTGGACGTCAGTCTAGACTTTCCCAGTTCTATTTGTTGTCAGAGGTGGGCAGGACTTCATCTATGAGACCTGCACCGCCTAGTGACACTAGAGTGAGAACTGAGGTTCTTACATCGTCTGTTAAGGACGCAGATGTGCAATCTAGTGTAGTCATGTGGATGGCTACTACAATCTTGCGATCTCCATTGTTTTCAACCACGGAGTTGATGGACTCTGATATTGATTTGGCTCGAGTATTTCGGGTAGTAGCCACGTCGTGTGAGCGTGGGAGAGTCACTGCTACGAGTGCCGAGATACGTAAGGATACGGTTGAGGAGCTATTCTCAACGTCTACATTATTCGAGGAGACGACTTGGCAGGCGGCAACGGCAAGGATGAAGTCCTTACCAGCGCGACCAGCCATTGATCGTGAGAGTATTGTCCCTGGTGTGTGTATGGTGGACAACATGAGTGGCTTATTTTGCTTAGTGAGCTCTACCCGTAAGGTGTGTGTCCCAGTCAGAGTTTTGCTGGATTCTGGTGCACAATCCTTGATGTTGGGCAAGGCTGCATGCATTAGTTTGGGTATTCGGAGGTCAGAGTTGGAACCTTGCCCATTCCAGATCCAGACATCCCTTGGTGGCGCAAGCGATAGGTCTAACTTTATGACCAGGGAGAGCATAGCGGTGCAGTTGAGGCATGATCACCCTCATGATAGCTCGTAATTTGGAGTTCGTGCGGTGGTTACATCAGCAGAGTCATATGATGTGTTTGTTGGTGGAGCTGTGTTATATCCGATGGGTTTTTGGATGGACTATTGGACGGAAACAGCTGCCTATCGTCATGGTTGGCAATCTAGCGATGGACGTCTGAGCGAGCTGGCCGTGAGATTTATTTTTTTGGGATCGACCTCTTGGATCTTCATCTGCGATCTTAGCATCTGTTGCGGGTTTCAGCGGAGTGCTTACCTGGCCTAATGACTTGTTAGAGGGGAACATGTCCGCCGACGATACCTTAGTCTATGAGGATGTGGAGGAGGTTGTGAGTTTCACAGCAGCAGTGACTTCACCCTTAGATGTTCCACTGTGGAGTTCTTGTCAGACACTACAGTTGGAGGCTGATAGGTTGGTAAAGAAGGCTTGGAGTGAAGCCTCTTTACCAGTACAGCCAGGGAGGGCTTCAGCTGATCGACTAGTTGGTGGTTCTAGCGCATTGTCTCCATTGGTTACTACACCTATTGCATGGGAGTATTCCCCAGAGGGTGTTTGTTTGCTGGATCTTTTTGATTGGATCAGCATTGGTTTGGCTGCAGTGTTGTAGTCAGGTATTCTCGTACGGAGATACCTGTATGTGGAGAAGGACGAGACTGCACGTCGAGTTTCTTCACGACATGTTGCACAGTTGATGCAGCGATTTACTTCGTTGTTGCCGCGATCAGCTGTTAGAGGATACCAGAAGGCGTTGCCTACAGACATTTCGTTGCTGGGGGCGCCGGACCTTGATCGAGTCGGCCATATTGATATGGTGATTGCGGGATGGCCATGTCAAGGACACACACGCGCTGGACATGGGACAGGGTTGCATGACCCTAGATCTCGGATGTTCTGGAAGATGATGCGAGTGTTACGTCATCTTCAGGTGCACCAGACACGTTCTCTAGCATACATTCTGGAGAAAGTACCATTGTTGGGTGACACTCGGGCTCAATTGATGGCGATTGTACATAAGGTCCGAGCATGGATTGGATCAGCAGTGTTGTTGGATGCTGTGAGAGTTGGATCACGTGCTCATCGTGCACGTTTATGGTGGACTAATCTTTTGCCACGAGAGATATTGCGTCATGCCTATGATTCTGTGCAGCGTGATCCTACACTCACCGTTGACAGTATCTTGGATGTTTCCCGACACTCTCAAGTAGTGAGAGTTGATGACAGGTCACCTATGGCGTTGATGAACCGCGTAGGTCAGCCTCGGATGGCTTTACCTACATTTGTCAATTATCCGGCATCACATGCATATCGTGATGGTGGACCTGGACTACTGTGAAACAGTACAGTCCATCAGTTGGTGGAGCCCAACGCTAATGAGAGAGAGCGTGCGATGGGATTTATGATTGGTGTAACCGCAGCTGCTACAGTTTCAGAGGTTTCGCGTCGTCAGGTTTTGGGTCAAGCTATGGACTTGAACTGCTTGACGTGGATTGTGAGCTTGGGTTTGGCGGAGCAACGCCGTTTGCGCGTTGATGTAGTGGGTAGTACACCACTTGTTAGCTCGTTGCCTACTGGAACGGCAGTGGCAATGGCTGGAGATGACATGCGAGATATTCGTCATCCTTGGAGTTCATGGGACGTGACGAGAGGACTTGCTAGAGTTGCAGCCCATGCAGTTGGAGAGGATTCTCATGTGGAGGTGGCTACGAAGGAGCGTATGGAGAACCCTTCTTTGCAAGATGTAGCGTAGCAACCATTGACAGTGTCGCCTCCCTCTAGTGTGTCTATGGAGGAGGAATGGGAGCCATTGATTGGTTTCCAAATCACAAGAGGAGAGAGACTACGATTGACACAATTCCTACGAGA